AGCACATTGTATTGCCAGGATAAAGAGCGTGATAAAGCGAAATGTTTAGTAGAGCCATTAGAAATAAAAGGAGTGATCCATGTAGCTGCTCTCTCCCTCGTGTAGCCTGACACATGCACCAGCAGGCAAGGCTGGGGTTCGCCTGGCTTGGCAGAGCAGGTCTCTCCCAACCTGCAGATGGAGTTGCTTTACTCCTGTAGCTGCTCAGGCACCTGCAGCTGGGAACGGGTCCTTGGCCATGTAGAGATTGAGACGCAGGGATACTGCCCCAACCTGGCACCTCCCTAAGGGTCCGACACCAGCTGCCCAACTTCACCCACTGAGAGGAATGCCTTGGGTTCATGTTCATAAAGTTAGCAACGTCTGCAACACGTCTGCAACATCTTGTGTAAGCTACCTTTGGACCCTCCTCCAGTGCAAATAATAGCTGCATTTCTACTTTACTGTGCACTAATGCAGATATTGATCTGCAGTAATGAAACAGATCTCTCTCTGCGCCTCGGCTACACCAGTGTCACCTATAAAATCCAGTCATATTTAACAGAAGAAAACCAACGTCGCCACCACAGCCTGCCTGTCTTCTATTAGGACAGGTTTAATTACGTCTTGCTTTCTCTGCGCAGGAGGATAAGTGAGCGGGGAAGCGAACGCCGTGCCGTTGCTCCCGAGCAGCTGATGAGGAGTAGTTTCCACAGAGGTGAGTGCGTGTCCCTGTTGGAAGTTAATTGGAGAAGGGAGCAGTAGAGTGCTCTGCTTTGGACCAGTAGCAAGTCTGACTTGCAAAATGCACTCCGCTAGAGACTAGGCAGCTTATCTCTTCCTGAAACCTTTATATCTAAAAGCCTCCTGCAAATTCTGACAGGCAGCAAAGTTCCCACAGTGTAAGAGGCTCCGTGTCTGGAGCTTGGGAGCACGGGAAGACAAAAGGGGACGGGATGGGATGGTGTACTGTCTGGCCCCTGCTGTTTGCACAGACAGATGTGCTCACTGACTGCGTACGATTAGATTACTTGACGATTCTGCTGGACCATGTGAGCTGAGCTAGCCCTTACCTTGATGTGTCATTTCATCTCTCCTCCCCTTCGCTGGGAGTGCTGCTGCCTTCTGACTGCCCGGTGTTGGTGCGTCTGCCTGGGAGCTCCTGTTTCAGGTAGGCTTGTATGGTTTTTTCCTCTTTGAATTGCCAGATTATGGCTGACTGGGAAGTGCAGGAATGCCAGGGGCTGCTCTGAACAGGAAAAAAAAAGGGAGGGCCGAAGAGAAGAGATAGGAATAAACTTTAACTGCTCTTGTGTTAAGACTGCTTTCTTTCTCATTGTGTTATACAGTATGTGTGTACCTTCCAGCTCAGGCAGGGTGTGTAAGACACTTGTTAAGAGAAGATTGTTTCCAGGCAGGGCTGCTCCAAGAGAAGAGTTTTGGGGAGAACGTGCACATTGCATGGCATCCCAGAGCAGCAGAAGACCAAGGCAGATTCATCTCAGTGCAAGAAGGTGTCACAGAGGAGGAGATCCTTTACAAAACAGCGGACAGATTACGGCTACCTGCATTTCCTAACCATAAAAAACCACACTGAGGAAAAATTGTTTGCTCACCATGGACTTGCTGTGCTTTTAACAACAGTGCCAATTCAAACTGACAGCTTTGCATGCGAGGGTCACGAAAAGGAATGTCATGATACAGATGGTTTTGTCCTAACAATAGAATAGAAAATACCAAGTGGCTCCAAATAGACATGTAATGTAGAATGTTTGTCGCTACTGATCGAGGCCAAACAGGACCTCAAAACCAATGTGAAACGCTTGTGCATCTTGCTTTTTAATTAGCTGAAACCAATTACCTATATTGATTAAGGCCAGGAGCAGTTTACTGAGTACTAACTATATTCCTAAGATAATATCCTCATTATGAGGAAAGGTCGGTTCCCATGCATCCACTGGGAAGCCGTTTCAGTTGCTAATCCTACTGGGGAGTGTGTTTCCGCTGCAGGAGCCACACCAAAAGCTCCTTTCGTGCTGAAATGAGAACTGCTATGATGCAGGTCCAGGGAACAATAAAAAGGAGTTACGCTTCAAGTCTCTGTCAGCAGCAGTTTTAGTTCTACAAGCACAGACCCCTCGCATGCAGCCTCTGTCGAATAGCATGGTAAATTTGATCTTCTATTATCTTTTTGTCCAGTAACTCTGTTTTTCCACCCAAAATATGCTGAGTCCAATACAATCCACAACAGGAGAAGCGATGGGCATCATGAAGTCCACTGTCACTTTGCTGCTCTTTCACTGACATCTGCCATAGTATGGTTCAGATTTGGCTTCTCCCTGCATCTGAACTTCAGATGAGCCTGTAAAATTAACAACTCACTAATACCTGAGAAAGAGGTTTTTCCATCGAGGTGGGTCATGTGACTTGTACACTCTATTTCATTGTTTCCCTGCTCTTTTTTTTTTTTTTTTTTTTTTTTTTTTAAGGTGTGTGATTTCTGCCTATAATCCCAGGCACGGATCTTATTTCACAAAGGTCAGCACAAGGTAGAACTAGTAAAATAAGAAAAAAACCCACGTTTTGAGAGCGTGGTTTTCTACAGCAATCATTTGCATGCATGTTTTCAAGTTTTTAAATACTAACCATGCTGCAGAATTGAGGCACTAGGATTAAAAAGTAGCACCAAGCACGCAGCCTTCCTTCCCCAAAGGCTAGTAGTACCAAAGGACCATGGTTAGTCTGGATTGCCACAAGGGTGTTGGCAGCAATGTCTGTGCAAGAAAAAAACACCACCAAGGAAAAGCTAAATCTTCATTTCACTCCTATGATGAGCAGACCTGTCTCTTGCTTTCTGCATTTAGCTTACCTGTTTGCTACAGACCACAGCAGAACTGCAAACGTCAACACCTAGGAGAAAAACAGTCTCTGTATACATACACACGTATAAATATATATATATATTTTAAGTTCTTAAAAGTCTTCCTAGCTGTATAATAGGCTACACAGTGCCTAGACCAGAGTTTAAAAGCACCCAGGCAAGGACAGTTTTGAAGGCATCTACATGCCTTTGATACTTTGGAAAAGCTACCTGTGTTTTCTGCCCCCAGCTGATTCTTCTCCAAGAAAATTCTGGCTCCTGCAGGAATGCTTACGCCTATCCACTGTTTTTCTCCTTCCACGTTTTCATAACACCAGCTGGGTGGAGATCTCATGTTAAGACCATGGCACAGGGGAAGAAATGGTCTTGCAGCCAGCTGGCTCACTGAGCAGGTGGGACACTGTTGAACTCAATGGTCTATGGAACGCAAAGAGGAGAGCAAGAGGCTGCTGGCCTTATAGTCACTGGTGGCCATGGCAGTTTGTGTTACTAAGGTGTGAGGCAGGTAAGTGATGTTTGCTCCTGGACAGAATTCACTGTAACAATCAGATTAGGAAGGAGCAGTGGTTTGAAGCACTCCGGGAAGGTCTGTGCACCTCAGGAGAGCATTCACCAGTCACTGCGCTGGGACATGTTTTACCTTCACAGTGGTGTTTGCTGTGTATTTCGTTGCTGGACTTGGACAGTGGTCTCAGCTCAGCATCTGCTCATCTCTCTGAATCCCCAGCAGTACAGTACTACAAGCTGTACTGTTGGGCTGTGGCAGCACTTTCCAGATGACTTCTCAGCAGCGTCAGGCGAATCTCCGTTACTTCCTGGGACTTTGCACACCTCTGTGCCAGCCCCTCGGCTCCATCGGAGCCATCCTTCTTCCAAAGGTGTTGGTGTCTACAAAGAAGGCTGCACTGGATCTCCAGTGTGACCACAGCTGTCTCTACCTGTCCCTGCTGACATCCTGGTGAGAAGCTGCTCTGCTGCTTGCCATCACTGGGTAAGCTTGAATGCCAGGTCTATCCTGCACCAGTGACCCTTGTGGGGGACAATCTAGCCACAAGTCCTTACAAAGTTTCTCTACCGCTCGTCTCCTCACTGCAGCTTGCGACTGTGCCTGATGGGGTGAAGCCACTGCTTGCAGCCTTCAATCTGTTTGAACTCCCAGGGTGTCTGGAGCCAGGATGGGAGGAAAGTGCAGCTTCTGTGAGGGCCCTGCCAGCATCTGAGGTGGCTTGTCTGCATGAGCTGGAAGGTTGGTGATTGTATTTCTGCTTTTGTAGCAGGCTGGACTGCCCACACAAAGTGTCTACTGGTGTAATCTCAGATCATCTGATATTTCCTCAGCATTACTTCATGTTGAAGCAAAATACCACGGTGTTGGAAAAAGTTAATATGCTTCAAACATGCTGTCTCATGGCAGCAGATCCACATGAACAGACTCAGAGTTGGAAGAGGGAGCGTTACCAAGTATTAAGCTTCAGTCAGAGCCGTGCCAGAAGCTCTCATTGTATAAACATGTTGTTATACCAAATGTATGCACAGCTTTTAGAAACAAGAATGTCTCATCAGAGAGCCTAAGGTTAGCTTAAGTAGTTTAAATAGCAGGTTTCGCTAACCCAGTTCCTTCTGGTGGAGGTAAGCCCGGAGCTCATCACAACTCATCCATGACACAGGCAGAAAGTATTTGGCAGATTTCAAATTTACAACTGAAGAAAACATTGCTGAAGAGACCTGATGGTTCTGATATAACTCTACACAGAGGAAAAAAGACACTCCTGCTTCTTGTATGTGGGTGTTGGTGGTCTTACACGGTAGCACAGTGCGCTGAACGAGCCTTTAGTAATTCTGAAGCGGTGATGACTGATACGCTTGGGTGGTTCAAAAAATGGTTCCTGTAAGTAAAAAAATAGAATTATGCAAGATGTAAATATGAGGTTTTCCTGCCACAGGGTGCACGCACAGGAAATTTTACAACTATATGATACGTGCAGGGAGAGTGGGGAGGGAGCAGTTAAGAACATGCCCATAAATTGAATGCAGGGACACCGTGAAATATGTAGTGCCACCTGTTCATTGCCAAGCCAGTAATTATGCTACGTGTCTGCTTAATCTTCAGGGTGCTGTGGAGCAGCATCCATCTGCAAGTTGTTTGCTACTTGTGCTGCATCCACATCAATGATGTCTATGAAACCATTAATATTGAAAGTAAGGACAGCAACTGCATGCTATGCATCAGATGGACGCATGCGTTATTGGGCAGGAAGCAAGCGCAGCCCGCAAAACAAGCTGTTTGAGATGTTTGATCTGACCTCTTCGTAATATTTCAAGTGAGACTTTTTTTCTGAGCAGCAATGAATCCTGTCAGATATTGTTTCTTCGCTATTCTGGTTCTCAGTGTTTCACTTCCATTTGTCTTCTACGCTGCTGACTTGCACACACAAAAACCTCTTCAAAGGTTGAACTTCTCGGTGAATTCAACTTTAGCAGAAGCCTGTAAAGCACTTACTGAAGGTAAAGCATCCTTTCTGAAGGAAAACACTTTAAAAACATCATTTGGTGAATCCAGTTGCACGGAGTACATCAGGCAGAACCGCTACATCACCCGCGCCCTCTCGGCTGAGGAGGCTGCCTTCCCCATCGCCTACATCATGACCCTGCACAAGGAATTTGAGACCTTCGAGAGGCTCTTCAGGGCAGTGTACATGCCCCAAAATGTCTACTGTGTCCATGTGGATGCCAAGGCACCGGCCCCATTCCGGCAGGCGGTGCAGCGCTTGGTGGGCTGCTTCCCCAACGCCTTCCTTGCCTCCCGGACGGAGCAGGTGGTCTATGGTGGCATCTCCCGCCTGCGGGCTGACCTCCACTGCATGAGGGACCTGCTGGCCTCAGCCGTGCCCTGGCACTACCTGCTCAACACCTGTGGCCAGGAATTCCCCTTGAAGACCAACCAGGAGATTGTCCGGCTGCTGAAGGGCTTCAGGGGGAAGAACATCACCCCTGGGGTGCTGCCACCCCCCTACATCACCGTACGCACCGAATACGTGCACAGGGAGCAATTATACTCTTCCTCTTCTTTCATGCTGAGGACATCTGTGCGCAAAGCACCCCCACCCCACAATTTGACCATCTACTTTGGCTCCGCGTACGTGGCCGTCACCCGGCCCTTTGTGGAGTTTGTGCTGCAGGACCAGCGCGCCATCGATCTCCTGGCATGGTCTGAGGACACCTACAGCCCTGATGAGCACTTCTGGGTAACACTCAACAGGATCCCGGGTGAGTGCGCCTTCACTTTTGTTTTCTGTAGGCAGACACATGCACACATGGGTGCACACGTGCACACACACACAGACATATATCTGAGGCTGACTGTGACAAAGCCTAGATGAAAAGTTTAATTGATATAAAAGGCTGATCTATCAAATAAACTTACTTGCCCTTTATTTTTAAACCCATTGAGGGAGAGGTGACTGCGCTGTGCAGGATGTGCATTACCACTGAGCAGGAAGAACCCCAGGGGATCTATGTTCAAATTTAAATCCTTGGACATTTCAGCTGATTTAAGCCTTTTACCTGTAAAAACTGAAGTGAAGAAAAGAGAAGGAATGAAGACTGAAATATGTAAGCTATGTAAGCAACGTAGTGAAGATGCTCATTTTGCTGGGTTGAGTTTTATTTTTCCAGAAATAGAAGTCAATTCCTCCCTCTCTATCTATTACTTCAGGGCCAGAAAATCTGCGTTTTGAGTAGAATCCGCTTCTAGTCATCATGTACTTTTCTGTATGCACACACACTTACCAGCTCTCCAGTAACACCTGCAAAAAAACCTGTACTCATAACTACCACCTAAACTCCATTGTACAAGGTCAAGGATCTGTTCAGAGAAACAGAATCAGAACCGGAATTTTCATCTTTACCTTACGTATTTAAAATTAGTTTTACCTTGCTCTTATGACTGGGAAAGGGTCAGAAGATGCACAGGACTTCTTCCTCAAGCACATTGCTTTTAAAAGCACCTGGTAGGACTTTACTGTTCCCCACCCCCTAGAGCTTCACAGCAGCCCTCAGCCGGAATGTGAGCAATAGAAGCAAGGATAAATTTCTTCTCTTGTCCTTTTTTTTTTTTTTTTTTTTTGAGCTGAGCTAATTGGAAATAGCTTATTTGAAGTGAAACCCCCACTAAGTTATAAAATTTTCATTTTGT